ATTTACTTGTAGAATTTGGAGTAACTTTAAAAATTAATAAAAAATCCAATTTCAATCGGAATCACTTCTAACTTTTTATACAGCATTAGAACACATATATGTACCAGGAAAAAATATAATTTCCTCAATTTCATTTTTGGCAAAATTTGGCCAATTACCCTGTACTATAGTACAGGAACTTTGGCCTAATTTTGGCGCAACTTTAAAAATTCAATTTTGATTAGAATTTTCTATACAACATTAAAACACGTACAATGTATCAGAAAAAATTTAAAAATAGAGAATTCTTTTGTTTTAATTCCTGGCAAAATTTGGCCACTTATCCTGTACAGGGACATTAGCCTAATTTTTAGCAGCTTAAAAAATTCATGAAACATTTGAATTTTACTGGAATCAGCTCAAAGTTTTTACACAACATAAGTACATATACATGTATTTACAATTTTCTCATTTTGATTCTTGGCAAAATTTGGCCCAATTTTGAAGCAACTTTTGAAATTATATAAAATTCAAATTTTGATTTCATTAAGCTCAAATTTTTTTTACAAGACACACATTAATAAAATCAAGAGTGATAAAATTAATATTTAAACCATAAATTAAGTGCAAGGACTTTGTAAATTACTAAAAAGAATTTATTTGTAAAAGCCAAAGGCAAGACAAAATATCATGAAAGCCACACTATAAAATTAACTTAATGCATAAAATTGAAACATTGGTGCTTAGGGTAAGTGAAAGGTGTGTTTTTGCTACTGTGAGTACTGTTCCTTCACACCCTGTACATATACATGTACATACACATATTATACATATACCTAACCTGATAATAATTCTTCAAATGTTTTTTGGTCTTTCTCATCAACTTTAGAATAGTCTCTTCCCTCGTACATGTATATTGTCTCTGGTCCTCTTTGCTCCTCCTCTCCCTCTCCTTCTAATGCTTCAGGTACTGCAGTGTCTTGTATTATCCAGTGTCCATTAGCATCAGTTTCACCAATTATACTAATAAACATATGTGAAATAAATATTACCCATCATAAAGTTAGTGGAATTTAGGATGCAATAGCTCTGCCTATAATATTTGGCAAAATACAAAACTTAAAGGTTAGCTTGGTGACTCCATCCTTCTGCTAATTGTGGCCTACATTTGTGGCAGTTTATCATTAACACAATAGCATATTTTGATTGATGGAGTACATGTACATGTATGTAAAAAGGTGCCTAATAACCCAATACATGTACATGTACAGTACTTTAATGAGCCTGCTATTATAATTAATCTACATGGACTTACCTTTCCAAGTCTTCACATCCAAAAGAGCTACAATGTACAGTGTACAAGTATAAATGTAATCAAAATTATTTCAATAATAATTATTAATGATTCACCTTTCTTCCGACTCCATTAATTTATCTAATCCAAACTTCAAAATGTCTG